TCGAAGATACTGAAAAATGTTCATCCAAGTTTTTCAATGTCCAAGGTCAGGTCTTCAAATGTCTTGTTTGTCAGTTCAAAACCCACAAATATTCAGTTTGATATTATAATAAATATCAGTGAAAAGGTATTTAAAAAGGCTGAAAACTGCATTTTGTGTGTGTGGAAAAGTACTTATTACAGATTACCCAAAAAGTTACTGGTGTGAGCTCTATGTGTTTGACAGAATTAGTTTTAGCTTGTAAAATAACAACTTGAGAACATCTGTGCAGCCTTTAACTGTTAATCCCTTTAAAGCTGTAGGAGATCTTTTAATTTTAAATACATATCGCACTTCCAGGGTTGCTCACAACTAATCCCTCCATCTAAAAATATAGCATCAAGCTTATGAAGTAGTAGAGTACCGTGGCACTGTGCAACACAAACTAAGATCAATCAATAACAGCTGCTGAGGTGATAAATAAGTCTTGTCATTTCTTTGTTTCTGTTATGTTTGTGTCATGAGCATATGACTGAAAGTGTGTGGGGTCACAGTATGCAGGTAGTTGATGCTTGTAAGACTGGGGATAGGCGAAGGGGAGTAGGAGGTCTGTGGTAGGGGGCATAGTGTCATAATATTTTTAACCTTGGCTTCCTGTCTGCCTATTCAGTGCTACATACCTGTCCATAGTTGTCTATCCCAGTCACTAATCTATTGAGATTGAGTAAATCAAAAGCGGTCCTCAATGACTGGCCAATAGCTGTGAGTCCGGCTGCTTGCAGATTCCTCAACTCTGTCATGAAGGTGGCATGGCTCTCTTTCCATCCAGCCTTAAAGAAAATATATAGAGAAAACATGTAGGTTAATAACACGCACAAAGCTATAATAAAACACCACTGTTGTGACCACTAGACAACTTATGCAGAAGTTGTTTTGTTATGATTCAGGACTGATAAATATGTATATAGGTTTTTTTTCTCTATTTGCTCAAAATAATTATTTGACAGCACTGCAGCCCAGATCCGTTTCTAGGAGGCTACTCATCCGGATAGGGATAATAAATTACAATGTGTGCAAAGTGGCAATTTGGTCTAAACAAGTAAAAGTAAGCTAGTCTCCCCCCCCTCCCTCTCGATATCCTCCTCCCTCCTCTCCCCCCCCAGATATCACCTCGCTGTATAAATAACACCCAGAGTTCCTTGCTGCTCACATTGAAACAAAATGTCGGCCATGTTTTAAAAGGGGTATGAAAGCTCCTCCTGAAGATTTTTTCCTCTACACACAATTGATGTAGTGATCACAACGTGGTGGTGGAGCCAAAGGAAAGGGGGGAGACAGGACAGTGCAATCTGCGCCAATGTAAAGCCGGACAAAACAAACTCTACCTTTATCCCGAAGGGGACGTCTTCAAAATTTACCAACATGTACCGGTCCCCTCGGCTGGCCGGATCTCTGCCCCTGAGCTGTGGAAATAGTAGAGAATTAGCCGAGTTTGCAACAGTACAATGAGGATGTCGTGGGGATCTCCCAATATGGTATACAGTACCTTCATAAAAGTCTCAACAGCGCCTTTTGCTATGTCCAGAAAGGTAGTGCCCAGATGGGTGCGCTGGTTCATTGAAGCGGACGTGTCTATCAGAAAAAGTAACACGGGCATTGTGATGGTAATGACACGTTCTGCATGGACTTGGTGTCAGTACAACCGGCCAAAACGCAAAAAAAATCTTTTGTTCTCCTACCCGCCTGTATCACCTCTCAGCTAGCTAGCTGGCTAGCTGGCATGCTAACTGTCTGTCTCACACATTCTTCTCAAAAAAAGTGTAAGAATAGTGAGGGTAGAAGCCCTTTCCGGGCTAACTAAACTAAAAACCTCAAACCCTAGGGGCAGGTTATTGATTCACGAGGGATTTTGATAATTTTAACAATATTTTGCGAATATTTCTAAGTTTCATAGTAACAAAGTTCCCCCCTCATAGTGTGTCCCTGCTTCTCCCTACACTGAATGCGCTGTGTCTCAGCAACTGGTTTTATCATTAGCTCCTCGCTATACCACGCCCCCTAAACGGTCTGTCAGCATCACATGGAATATTACTCGCTTCTCATTGGCCGTGGGAAGCCTCTCATTACCATATCCAAATAAGGCCAGAGCTGAGCGTCTCGTGCGCATGCTTGCCTGTCTGAGAGGAATGCGAGGAAAATATTCTGTACATGCAAATATGTGTGTCAAAGAACTATGTGGCGACGCACTCTGTTGTTGAAGCCTTGAACTAAGTTATTTGAGCACATTATAACAATGTCTGTCCTGAGAGATGATTACATAATCCATATGTACTTCATCCTATGCACGGGCGTGGGCTACTGTGAAAGACAACCCCTAAAGAGGAAACTCAAGATAGACAATAATATGGAAATGAAAACTGTGAAATATTAACCCAGTGATGCACACAGGGTGTACAGAAAGTACTTATTCACACTATTTGTTGCTTTGCAGCTTGTTTTCATGCGATAAACAAGTAAAGACAGCCCTTCTTTGAGAAAAACAATGTGAAGGAAGAAAGGTTTAGCTGAAGAGTCGCTGCAAGGGATTGACATGCGCAAGCACGCACACACCCTACAGCTGTAAAATGGCTATACTTTGCATACATGCATTTATATATCGCTTTTCCTGGTGCTCAAAGACGCTTTATGAATAGGGATTAAATAAGTGAGATTTATTAAAGTAGTAGTCAGATTTCTGTTATCGCATCCCATCAGTTTTGGCTTTCACTAACATGTCTTTACTTCACAAAATATATCTCAAAATACCACACACACTCAGGAATTCTTCAATTGATCTCCAACAGGCTCCACATCATCCGAGCTGATTATAAGCTTCACTCTAATGTCACATGACACTCAGCACGATTTTGCAATAACATTTACATAATGAAGCTCCTTGGAAAATATTATCGCTTCCGCAAAAATAAGAGGAAACCATCCGGTGGCAGTCGATAACAAAGAGGAGGAAGGTCTATTGCCTCTTGTTTGGCTGAGTTCTCGAATGCAACACCCACACACTCACACACACATACACACACACACACACACACACACACACACACACACACACACACACACACACACACACACACACATGCACATGCAACATGCACACACACACACACACACACACACACACACACACACACACACACACACACACACACACACACACACACACACACACACACACACACACACACACACAGCCCCCCGTTCATTATCCGGTGTGACACAAACAGGTTTTTCAGAATAAGAATAATTATGGAGAAAGTGTAATGGGATTTGGTGGGGAAAAATGTACACAACTTGTATGAACATGTATCACCATTTTGTTTCCATGTATTTGCAAGATTTACAAGTATGTTCCACTTTAAAAATATCCAAACTGTCAAACAGTGCTAAATATTGGCAAATGGTTTGTGACAAAAATATATATATATTTTTTTTATATTGGGAGGGATGAAACCCTCTTTAATGGTCACACATGCAGAGCACACAGCACACACAGTGAAATGTGTTCTCTGCATTTAACCCATCCTAGTACCAGGAGTCTAGTACTAGGAGCAGTGAGCAGCTATTGCACAGCGCCCGGGGAGCAATGGGAGTGGGGGGTTGTCTGGTGCCTTGCTCAAGGGCACCACAGCAGGGCAGGAGGTGAACTGGGACCTCTCCAAGTAGCAGTCCACACTCCATATTTTAGGTCTGTTCGGGGGACTTGGACCGGCGACCCTACAGCTCCCAGTGCAAGCCCTTACTGACTGAGCCACTGCCATCTTAAATAGGGAATGGTTGTAATTCTTTCTTTTATTTGACTAATTTATGACAAAATAAGATATACTGTGCTAAAAGTAAAACGTTCTGTAAACTTAGTAAACAAATGCTGAATCCTACAGCAAACACCTTTTAAACCTTTTATTTGGAAATCCCAAAAAATCCAGACAAAATCTGACCGGAAATAATTGTCATCATGTTTCACAACTTTCTGTAAACAGCCTAGAAGAGCTAAACGTTACACTTTGTTGTAACGTTTAAATGTAATAGTTCAATAATTCATATACTTTATCTATACAAATAAGGTCATCATTACATCTAAGATTGTCAGTCAGGATTTTACTATGAAAGTCATAACCAGAAGTGTGATGTTTTATTGTGAAGGGGACTTGATTACTGTGTGGGTCCTTCAGTGAAATGTATAAAGCTACCAAGAGTAGCTTAAAATAGACTTCAAGTTGTTTACCTTCAGCATAAAAGCAAGCTGCATATATCATATTCACCTTATTGAGTAACTTGTTTACAGTTTATTTTTCAGTCTATATCTATATATATTGTGTTATAAATGTTTAACAGTAGAGGTTTAATTTCCATGGTGGGAGTCATGTTTGAATAAAGACTTTTGTGCAACAGTGTGTTGTTCTGTTTTAATATAATGTGTTGGTAATGACATGGCTGTTGTTTATATTAGAAATAGTAAGTGTTAGGCGGGTTACTTACTTACTAAAATACAATTGGTAATAGACTACTGCTTACCCTGTAAACATGTTTTAGTAATGCAACTATTACATTATTATTCAAAGAGATGTTTCCTATGAATTTTTGATTACTTTCATAACTTACATACACTTAAATCATGAAGTGCACTCAACACAACAGTGATTGAGGCTGAGACTTTTTTCTAACAACTGCTTCTCTGTTATTTTTGTATATACTAATTTAAAAACAACTTCAACTTCATTATCTAGAAGGCTTTATCATTCCATTTACAATTTAAAGGGTGTCCTTACTGTTTGGTAGAGCACTTGAAGAAGTGAAGTCATATTTAAGTAAAGTTAATTATTCTTTCTTCTTTATATTGTATTCTTCTAGAAGCCTTCGATATAAATGCTTTTATTTTGACATCAAACCAGAAGTTTTATTTTGTTGACCGGAAGTGCTTGCTGCCTGCCTGTAGGCGGATGTGTTGTGTTTGTTGTCAGCTGACAGGCAGCATCCGTCACAACACCGCGCTGCTCGCTGACAGCTAGCTAGCAGCTATTAGCAGCTATTAGCCGGGGCTCTGCGGGTATGTTTCCCGGAGTCTGGACCGTAGACGGAGGTTTGTGTACTACCGACTCATGGCGGCCGAAATACTGCCCCAACCGCAGGCTCGGAAGCCGTGTCTGCTGAGCAAAATCGAGGCTTTCCAAGATGTGGTTAGCACGGCGGTCATCATTCCCAAAGAAGACGGCGTTATCAGCGTGTCGGAGGACAGGTACATTAAGCTTATAAGCTGCACTGCGGCTGGACCACAACATAACATTAACATCCTCCATTAAAATCGTCATTATGTTGTTGTTTTTTACCCAACAACAGTGTCTATGCTCAGAGGTGGGAAGTAACTAAGTAGATTTACTCAAGTACAGCTTAAGTAGCCTACAATGTTATGCTACTTTGTATTTCTACTCCACTACAATTCAGAGGTAAATTGTGTACTTTTACTCCACTACATCTATTTAGTACCTTTAGTTACTTTGCAGATTTTGATTAATGATGTGAAACATAATCAACATTTAAATCTGACTTTAGTTACACTTGGAGTAAATTCACAAGCTACCCTGCAGTATACAAAGTCATTAAAACTAGCTGCACCTTTACCAGCTTTGATAACACTCTAATGATCAATCATTATAAAACATATCATATATATTATTCTGAAATGGACCAATCTGCACAATGACTACTTTTACTTTTGGTACTTTAAGTATATTTTGCTGCCAATACTTTTGTAGTTTTACTTGAGTAACATTTTGAATGCAGGACTTTTACTTGTAACAGAGTATTCCTACACTTGTACTTCTACTTTTACTAAAGACAAGATCTGAATGCTTTCCACCTCTAAAAATAACATTACAATCAAGATTCATAAACGTCATTTCATGTTTTTTACCCAACAACAACGTTTTCTCTCCAGTCGGTCATTGATTAAGCTCGCGCCGCAGCCGTTTGGCTTAATCATTTCAAAAAGCCGTTTGTAGCAGAAACAGACCAACGGTTTATGGGTAAAGACGAAAACACAGCGTAACGTTTCTATAAAAATATCAGCTGACAGTCAATCTTTTTAATATACTTTCTATCTATTGGCTTTTTTCCTTAAACATGCATTTTGTTCAGAATATAAACTCATATTTGTACACAGTGGAAGCTAATCACAACAAAGGAACAAACAAAAAAGCTGAAATACAAATTGAGAGAAAAATAAATAAATAAGCTACAAATAAAACAAAAATCGAAGCAGTAACTTATTTATCGTTGGAATAAGAGCACTTTCGTTTTCCCCCTCGCTCTCCCAGTTTTAAAGTTGCCTCTGGCTGTATCTGTGGCTTCTTTGGCTGCCAAGTGTGTTTATCCAGTATACTGACATCTGCATGAGGGTGTGTGTGATCCCCTGCATGTTCAAAGGTCGCATTTCCTATAATGACTGTGCAATCTCAATGAATGTACCAATTACACCTAGGATACTTTTGAATACTTATAGTAGCTCTTAAAATCAGAACCAGGTTTATTTAAGTCGTCTTATGCCTTAGTATTTTGGTGCAAACCGGTCACAATAGTAAGAGGAAAACAGGTACTGCAATTGATATAAAGGAAGTTAAATAAAATGTAAAACTTTTTGTTGATATTTATTAGTAGTTTACATGCAAAGATGGCAGACAGTGGGTCAGATTGCACATAAGGAACCCAATGCAGGAATTTAAACACCATAAGCAGGCCCCACTGTTCTGAGAGCATAAAATACAGATTTGTTTGAACTTAATAACGATCTTATTCATGTAGTGGTACGTTTATATACTATTAAAATATTCCTAGAATTCGATTTTCGTCAGTCCAAAACCCAAAGATGTTCACTTTAATATGATATAGAATTACAGGAAATCTCCTTCTGCATGTAAAATGACTAACCGTTGCACTCTCCATTACACCTCAGATGCCATCAGAGCTCTTGTAATGTGGCTCTAATGTTGTGGTTTCTCCCACAGGACGATCCGGGTATGGCTGAAGAGAGACAGCGGGCAGTACTGGCCCAGTGTCTACCACACAATGACCAGTAAGTATCCTTTCCTATATCTTCCCCTTCACATATTTGGGTTTACCACTAAAACTTATTTTCGACTTCTGTTTTGAGGAACTATTTTAAACAAAGGTTTGAACAAGCCGATCAATTGCTCAGTGTAATTCCTCAGAGAGTGGAGAAATATTAAAACAGCAAAGGGACAGTGCTGATGAAAGGTTGTTAATAGAAGTAGAAGAAGCAAATATATAACAAAGTTAGGTAACTTCACAACCATGGTAAAGAGGAGTAGCAGTTTAATAAAAAAGGAGTTAACTAGCAGCCATGAAGTAGCACATGATCAGTGTGATTGCACATGATCATGATTGCACAACATTGGTACATGAATATGTATGAGTACGTCACTTTAGTCCACAGAGTTGTCCAGATCCTGTTAAAAAATAAGACCCCTAAAAGCTGAGATACCGATTCCCAAAGTAGACAAAGCACAACCATGTTTTTATTTTCAAAAATACTGAAAATGTAGTCTTATTCAAAGGGGACTGTGTCGGCCTTATCCCACGTATCTCTGGAACTAATGATCAGAATGTCACCAGATTTGGATTAAATCTTGATGCCATCTCTACAGAGGCATAGCATACAATAAAGCAAACATTTCATCAATATCTGTGTTAATTTGTGCAAAATATACACTTAAACACATGAATATTAGGTGGGAATTAAAAAGAAAAATCGGGAGTTTGTTGCTCTTCTATCATAGCGTGGAGTTTACTGTAATAAGATTAAGCGTCGGAACTCATGTACGATCATGAACTCTCCTCTCTTCCTCCGTCTCTGACAACGTTTGTCCTCCAGTTGTGCAACTCAAGGAAATCCCATGCCGCCATCAGCAAGATCTGAAGCTTACAAAAGCATGACCAGAGGCTGCAGATACTCAGACCTTTAGTTAGATCATATACAAACTGAATTTGCAAATGATAACACAATAACTTCTTACAGGATTTACTGATATAGTGACATCTTTATGAGGCAAAACTGAGTGTTAATCGTACCTGACATAACATTGTATATCATAGAGGTAGAAATACTTAATTATAGCATTTCTTTCATACATAATTAGTGCATAATTGTATCTTTGAGTTGATTTGTAACATATTTTTCATGGTTTGTTGAAACTCCTACTTTGGAACTACGTTTTTTTTGCCCCCCGAAGCCTCAGTCAACACATTTGGGAAATTGCAACACAACAATATTTTCCAAAGTTGTAAAAAGGTCAACAAAATAACTCTTATTTATCTGCAGTGTATTGATTTTGTGGGTTATTTTTACACACACCATATCTGATGGAAGCTATTAGCTATAATCTGGCATAATTCATCTCTTCTCTGTTCTGAGATTAATGTATTTGTATGCATGCACAGAATCAGCCCCCTGCAAAAACAGTGCTGGAGAACAACACATAGAGCGAAATGAGGCATGGCTTAAAATCATGATCTGTTTGGTATTTTGAAAACAGAAACCTATAAATATACCTTATGGCCCTACAATATATCATTTAAATATAGCATGATAGGTCCACTTTAAGTTGGTGTGACGTTGAAGCAGCGACCCTGCTGTAGTTCCTTTATAGCATAACGTTAGCATTTTTGCTTCTGGGGACTAGATTTCTGATTAGAAAATGATAAAAGTAGGGTAGACATGTGGAGATTATCCGGCTGAACAAAACGTGATCCGTCTCTTAAATGTGTCTCAACCACAGACCTTATTTCCAGCTATTTTCTAAAATCCTATGGAGAAATCTCATTGCTTTTTTGTCGAAGGAACTGGAAGGAGTTTACTTCCGGGTTTTAGGACGCGTCACTGCGGCACTCTATTCTCTTAACTCTATTAAACAACTGGTAAATAATTAAAAATAATTAAGCCCTAATTTGGACTGGAAAAACGTACTAAAATAAAATAAATATGGTAAACTATTCTTCTTGTTTGTGTCCAGCGTCGTGCTCCTGCATGTCCTTTAACCCAGAGACCAGGAGGCTGTCATTGGGCATGGACACCGGCAGTATCCAAGTGAGTCCAACCCTTCTCACTTATATAACTGAATATTGTGTGGATGTGTGGGTGTGTGGGTGTGGGTGGGTGTTAAAAACGTCTCTTTTTAATTTCCTCTTTAAGATGTGTAGAGAGTTTTATTTTATGTCATTGGTCGGTCTTTTTTAAGATGCAGCATTTGTTTTTACTGTCCAGCTTATTTAGTTGTTTGAGGGTTTCACAGTGGGAGTTGTTTATTTTGGAACAAGTTGTCCCGAAACAAATTCAGACAGTAACACTGCAGAACATTTTCAAGGTTTTGAGTCTCAGTACAACCTTGTGTTAACAAGTTGTGTAGTAAGAGGAAGGCCTGCAGCTTTTTTATTTACCTAAGCAATTTGCATTTACATCTGTAGAACAGATGTTTATCTTTCTGCAGGAGGGAGGCCTACGCTTCAAATATGATCACTTTTTAGGAACATTTTAGTCTCTCTGTAACTACGTACTTACTGGAATTTGAACACAGGAACTTAATTTGTTGCCATTTATAGATTTATTTGGAAACCTTGGTCATTGAACTCAGTCACTGTGAACATTTCTTTCCACTTCCTGTCTTTTAGGAGTTCATCCTGTCAGAAGACTACAATAAGATGACCCCAGCAAGCACTTACCAGGGTGAGACAGGAAGTGTGTGTGTGTGTGTGTGTGATTGTTTGACCGTGGGTGAGCACTAGCCAAAAGAAGCGTGAGTGTTACAGTGATGTCACTTTGTGAATTGATAGAAACTTCCTTCTGGAGTGAACTTTGGGATTTAAGCCTTTTTAGACCATACACATACAAAAATCTATATCACACACTACTGGAGAGGGAACACCTCTTAAAGCATAATAGGGCCTCTCCAAATGCTTATTTTCTGAACACTGTTTACCAAGATACTCTGGATAGGTCCCTGCACTGTGGTTGTGAAAATAAATCGTGTGTGTGTGTGTGTAGCCCATCAGGGCAGAGTCTCAGTGGTGCTGTTTGTGTTGGAGATGGAGTGGCTCCTGAGCACCGGCCAGGATAAAAACTTCAACTGGCACTGCTCTGAGAGCGGCCAGCAGCTGGGGACGTACCGCACCGCCGCCTGGGTGTCAGGACTCCAGTATCCTTTAATAACCCTCCTGTTTGTTGTCTTGATTTGTCCGCTACTTGGCCTCACACTCAATAAACCTGACAGCTTATCTTAAAGGGAGATGAATGGATTCAACCAAGTGGGAGCCATCTTTGTTGCTCCTGACTGCGAATAATCTCCAGCTTTTATTTATTATAAAACAGTCTATTTTAAGGGCCACAGCAACATTACACAGAGCAATTTGAGCTTAGCTTCCTGTTAGCGTTGTGGCTAACAATAGGCATCAGACATGCTGTTGTCATGGAAACAGTGTGAATAGGTTTCAGTAATGGCCAGATGAAAGGCTCCGCGGCGACACGGATCCATACCAATGAGCTGTGAGGTCATCACTCTGCAAATCTTTACAGCGGGGGAGCACTTTTATTCTAGCTACAACACAAAACACTAATTTGGTGTCTCCCCGGGAACCGAACTTACAAAAATACATCATGAATTGCTCTAATGTCTGCATTTATAGACTACTGATGATGAACACAAGAAACCATGAATTACACATTTAAATGAGTTCATTTTAACCCATGACGGGTGTCACATGAACTTTAAATGTTCTGGAAAGTTCCTTATACAGCTTTAGCCTTGTTTTTATCAAGTGACACACACTGAACAGTCTGGTGGGTCATGGTCCAGGTCATGTGATTTTGTGTTCCCATGACAACGTGTCCAAGATGTCCATGTGCCAGACTAACACATGTGACAGAACAAGCTACATTTCAAAAGCTTTTTTTGTTTGTTGCTAAAGGTAAAATTCAAGCCATTTAAGAATTAAAATGCTTACATAACATGTCCTTTATTACATTTAACCTGTTGTGGAAACATTTCTTGATCAAATTGATATGAAACAAATGAGACAAACATCGCTGTGACACTGATGTCACATCGGGACTTTAACCCTAAACTTTCACAGTAAACCCAAAGTGACATATATGCACAATTAGAAATATTATTATGATCTGCTCAGTTAATTTAGCTGATTCAATTATATTGAGTTGATTCAAAGAATGTTCAAACTAAGTTAAACCAATAATTAAGTTATATATAAGAGTTATTTTACCATTAAAGCCCAATGTGACATATATGTCACATTTCAGATATTTGACACTAAGGGTGGGTTCTTGTCAGAAATGTGTTCTAGGTGGTCTATTTAGTCTCAATTATGTTCCCCTTAATTTCCCCAAAAGTAGAAATGGGTCCGGGTTCTAAGAACAGTAACTGCTTTAATCAAAAATCAGAATCAGGTTAGTTGCCAAGTATTTTTACACATACTAGAATAGTATTTACACCACTGCATACATATTTATTTAGTCAATATTACGTTTTTTAAATGAGGCAAATATATAACTATTATAAAAACTTTAAAAAAAACAATTACAAAAATTTATAATTTGAGTGAGAACATACCTGAAAAATAAAATGTGTAGTCTAATTTTCTAAGTGTTTTGTGAAGTTGTTTACCGCCTCAAAATGAATATACATTGAAAAACAAATAAAATCAAGGCATGGGTTTGCATTTGACTTCTAACAGTTTCTGACTAAATAATGAACGGATTAACGATCTCAGATTCCCAGAGAGATAAAGATCATTTCTGTTATTAGATGTGCAGAAGGATTTAGGTTTGATATGACGTAGGTTATTTCTTGTTCTTCTTCACTTCGGACAGTGTTGTATTGATTTTGGTCCGTAGTGACTTAACCAGGTCAGAGGAGGACTTTGAATAAATGGCCAGTGAAAGAGCGAAGAGTCCTCCACTTCCACTTCCACTACCAAGGGCTAGGACTTTACATGATATAGTTTACACACAGATACAACCAGTGGTGTAGTGGTCGTTGGACGCGGGGGATCGCCGCCCCCCCCCCACTTATTTGGAGCACTCACTTTTTTGAAGCATGATTTTTTTTTGAATAGTCTAAGTTTATAAATTGTTTATGTAACTTATGTGCCGGTGACGTGTCCATGGTTTTGAGTCTGTGCTTTTTGCAGTACAGTAACTAAAGTAGGACTAAGCATACCGGTAGTTTCTGTAGACCTGCTGTCTGCCCGTTTTGTGAGTGCACTGCACACTTGTGGCATTGTTTGGGATGACTAGGGTGACCAGGTGTCATGCTTTGTGCTGGACTGCACAGGCGACAGAGGTCCACAGTGTACCCACCCATTGACAGTTCAGTTCACGAGCATCGACATTGCGTCCACCCAGTAAAAAAATCCCCACTACACCACTGGATACAACTATTATTTTTACTGTGCATATTTTGCAGTGGGTTCTTGTGGGTGATTGTTGTCCAAAAACAGATAAAGAGCCAACTTAATGCATCAATAGTTTTAGACCTTAACTCTATCCCAGGTTTGATGTGGAGACCAGACACGCCTTCGTGGGAGATCAGTCCGGTCAGGTGACCATCCTGAAGCTGGAGCAGGACAGCTGCAGCCTGGTCACCACCTTCAAGGGACACACAGGTACACACACACACACACACACACACACACACACACACACACACACACACACATACACACACACACACACACACACACACACACACACACACACACACACACACACACACACGCTGAAGCTATAAATCAATTAGTCGATCACTTTACTGATTCTCTCCATCATTGCCTCTGCCAAGGAGCTGAATAAGCAGAATCACGACTCTATTTTCTTGAGAGTTGGTGGAAGGGTGTATCATGGGACAAAAAATAACCCCTGTACATTTTGCAACAGATCTGAATCACAGGGCGGATACACACAATAACTTTCACTTTAATTAACTCTGTGAGATGGGGCATGTGAACTGCATTCATGTGGTGTTGAAACAATCTTAAAGATGAGTTCCCGACTGGAACATTCACTTGAACGGCCACCCAAATTGAAAAAACAGATATCAACATGGTTTTTAAATTATCTGAGCAATAACACAGCTTCTTTGTAGCATCCATGTTGTTTCCTCTTCATGATAGAAACATCTTTCCAACTTGCGAAATGGGATTTGTAAAGCACCTAGGCTCGCAATAAATTCACCAGGGTTTTAAACAAAGACGTGTTCATGACTGTTTGGAAATATCAGAAGCGCAGTAAAAAGAGGCGGCATGCAAAGGAGAAACAGTCAGCATGATGGCCATACATTCCTGTCTCCGTCCAAAGAGGTTATTCAGCTCAGTTTGTCAGAATAATTGAACAACTTCTGGCCTGATTTCATAAAACTTGGTGGAAGGGTGTTTCCTGAGCCAAGTCACAACCCATTGAGTTTTGCAGCAGATCCTAGTCACAAGGCAGATACACGAAATATGTTTTACTTTTGTTAACATTGTGAGCTAGGGAACTAGTGCTGCATTCATGTGGTGTACACATAATCGTAAGATGTGTTCCTGACTAGTACAATTCATAAAAACGCCCTCTCAAGTCAGAACAACATCTCTGAGACAGATATCAAGGGTGTAGCACAAAGACTCTTAGTTTCAGATGAGTTCAGGACTTAAAATAATATGTCCAGTATAGTGATAGGAGTTTTATCAACACTCAACATTTTGGCCCATAGTACATAAAATAAGTTAATGAACAAGTCTTCTGAGAAGTGTGTGTGTGTGTGTGTGTGTGTGTGTGTGTGTGTGTGTGTGTGTGTGTGTGTGTGTGTGTGTGTGTGTGTGTGTGGTGTGTGTGTGTGTGTGTGTGTGTGTGTGTGTGTGTGTGTGTGTGTGTTTGTGTGTGCGTGTGTGTGTGTGATGTGTGTTGTGTGTGTGTGTGTGTGTGTGTGTGTGTGTGTGTGTGGTGTGTGTGTGTTGTGTGTGTGTGTCGTGTGTGTGTGTGTGGTGCTGTGTGTGCTGTGTGTGTGTGTGTAGTGTGTGTGGTGACTGTGTGGTGGTGTGTGTGTGTGTGTGTGTGTGTGTGTGATGTGTGTGTGTGTGTGTGTGTGTGTGTGTGTGTGTGTGCTGTGTGTGTGTGTGTGGTGTGTGTTGGTCTCTCCAGGTAATGTGACGGCGCTGGTTGGGACCCGGTCCAGAGGGTGCTGTTCTCCGGCAGCTCAGACCACTCCATCATCATGTGGGACATCGGGGGGCCGCAAAGGCACCGCCATCGAGCTGCAAGGACACAAGTAGGAAACACAAACATTCACTCCGATCTGAATAAGGGTTGTTGCAATATACTAGTATTGCTGACAACCCTTATTGAATAAATACAACAGTAGTATTGTGGCCCATCATAAATCAGCTTTTCTTAATGTCTTTCATTTTTGTAAAGCACTTGAATTGCCTTGTGTTGATGAAGGTGCTATATAAATAAACTTGCCTTGCACGCTGGTCTGTATTCATTTCATTTCAAACCTTTATTTATCCAGGTTGTATCCCATTGAGATCATTGATCTCTTTTTCAAGGGAGACCTGCTCAAGTAGGTTCCACATGAAACATTAAAAACATAAACAGAACAACAAAAGGACATAGAACAACAAAAGGACATATAAGGACTGTATAACTATCGCTTATCAGCTACATTGTGAACAAAACATTGAGGGGGAAATCAACAGAAGGAAAGCTAGTAAAGGTTAGCTGTTAGCTGCCAGTGTGTAGCACAGTCCTAGCTTGCTAAAATAAAGCTAAAAGCTAACAGAGATTATATTGAGAATTGAAATGTGTAAGTTATTAAGTTGTTTTAACCACTAACCATAACTAAAATCTCCAAACAAATCTTTGTAATTTGTACCTGATTTGTCATTGTATGTGTGTTTTTCCACAGTGACAAGGTTCAGGGCTTGTGCTACGCCTCACACACTCGTCAGCTCATCTCCTGCAGCTCAGACGGAGGCATCGTCATCTGGAACATGGACGTGACACGACAAGAGGTGAGAGAGAGAGAGAGGCAGCAGAGTGCGACATGAACACACACTCAATCTGGGAACTGTGACAGTGTGAAGAAAAGAAAATATGGGAATGTGACACGTGTGAGCTGTGTTTTCATGCCTTTTGCACACGTCCTTGTACTGTCAGAGAGATAAGCGTAGGGCTGCAACTAACAAGTAATTTAATTGTCTATATCCACCAGTTACTTTCTAGATTAATCGATAGACTGTTCTATAAAATGTTAGAAATAGACAAAATATCCGTTCTAGTTTCACAAAGTCTAAGGTGATGTCTTTACATTTCTTATTTTGTCCTAACAGAAATATATTCTGTCTGATATGATACAAAACATAACTTTTTGGGGACTTAAAATACATCTTCCTTTGTATTGGGAATCCTAATTTGAAAAGTGCAGATGAGAGATGCATCGTTATTAAAGTGTGTGTGTTTGACAGACCCCAGAGTGGCTGGACAGCGACTCGTGTCAGAAGTGTGAGCAGCCTTTCTTCTGGAACTTCAAACAGATGTGGGACAGTAAGAAGATCGGCTTGCGACAGGTGTTGTACAATCACATTACTTTACAAAGCTTTTATATTTATAAATCCTCAGACACAAAGCACATCATGATTCACTCATTAGAAGCTCCATTAAACAATTGTTTTGTCTAAACTATATTTCATCGAGAAGTTCACTTGTTCACTGTGTCATGTATGTATGTCACATGGTCAATCCAAATAACAAAAATGATCATTTGGACGTACATGAAAATGAAGGATCCATAAGGATGTCAACCGCTTTGAGGTGCAACGGGTCATTACTGTTACTTTGCTTAATGTTGATGACGTCCTCCTCCGTCCTCAGCACCACTACAGGAAATGCGTCCAGGCGGTGTCACATTGACAATCCACAATTACAAAAACTAAAATGTGAACGTTCATGAAACTGAAGGATGTCCAAAGCCCTTAGGTGCTGCAAAAAAATGATAAAGTTGGCATCAGACAGCACAACGGCTCGTTATCCAGATGTTACTTTGCCTCATGTTGAAGTCCTCCTGTGTTCTCAGCACCACTGCAGGAAGTGCGGCCAGGCGGTGTGCGGCAAATGTTCGTCCAAGCGCTCCACCATCCCCCTCATGGGCTTTGAGTTCGAGGTGCGTGTGTGTGACAGCTGCCACGAGTCCATCACCGACGAGGAGTGAGTAACAATCGGCCTCTGTTGTTGTTGTCCTCCACTGAACCTTTGTGTACTCTGTGAAGTAACCGTGGTCCCTGTTGTGTCTTCCAGCCGAGCGCCCACAGCCACCTTCCACGACAGCAAGCACAGCGTTGTTTACATGCACTACGAGCCCACCACCGGGACCCTGCTCACCTCAGGCAGCGACAAGGTCGTCAAGGTCTGTACGGGAACACACGGTTTATCATGAGTCTCTGATAGGACATGCGAGCACACACAGTGACACTCAGTAAGACACAGTAACACACAGTAAGACACAGTAACACACAGTAACACACAGTGACACACAGTGACACACAGTAACACACAGTAACACACAGTGACACACAGTAACACACAGTAACACACAGTAACACACAGTAACACACAGTAACACACAGTGACACACAGTAACACACAGTAACACACAGTGACACACAGTAACACACAATGACACACAGTAACACACAGTGACACACAGTGACACACAGTAACACACAATGACACGCAGTAACACGCAGTGACACACAGTGACACACAGTGACACACAGTGACACACAGTAACACACAGTGACACACAGTGACACACAGTGGAGTCAGACGTTATCAGAGCGAGTTTTACATCTTAGTTTGTTGTCCTGTTCTGTCTAAGATACATTAACCATTGTTAGTGTCATTATTCTGGTATGATTGCTCACATCCAATTTATTTAGTTTGGCTATTCAAATGATGTGAATGATGTGGCCAAAAGAATCAGAAATGGGTTAATTGACAAGTAGGATGTCAGATAAGAGCTGTATTGGTACTTAAATAAACACATAAACTACACAAATACACACTTTTTATATAATCATATTTTTTTTATTTAAAGTCACATCAATATATATTTATATAAGAAAAATTAGGAGAAATTCCTGGATGTGAATAATGGTCTAATTTTGTAGGCAGTAGGTTTTGAGTCTGCAGGAATGTCTCTCCAGAAGCCCGTTGAATCTGAGGAACAACCATGTGTGTGTTTCTCTGCAGCTGTGGGACATGTCTCCTGTGGTGTCCTGAGGTCAGCTGACGCTCTGTCCACCAAACTGTGAAGGCTTCACGGCAGCAGTTGCACTTGGAAGAGAAAGAGAGGAACAGTCTCCATGTCACCTGGATAATATTTAACTTTGAGCAGCGGCTGTCCACAGGGAGGACTCTGGGAACAGCACGGAGCGGACTGAAGGTTACAGACGGTGGTGGGTGTTTGTTTGTGTGGGGGGATCCCTATCTGTGTGTATGTGTGTGTGTTTGTATTATATCAGTGTGTGTGGGAGGGCTTTTGACTTTACAAGGACTTGAAAATCCTTAATTTTCATGCATCCTGATTTCAAACCTGAAGTGAAACATTTCTGCACTTTGTCAGCGGGTACCGTAAAACCTTAACGTCTTTATGTTAAGGAGGTAACTGAATTGAACATGAAGTCACAACCTTCAACTCACTCATTCACTGTTAGCAGGCTGTAAGAGGAAGCTGTTGCATCACTTCTACACCGACATGCACGACCTACAGGAAGTAAAGAAAGTAGCAGCAGACAATTTCTTTGCTTTCAAATTCACCAAATCCGGCTATGACCGCTTTTATCCATCTGCAAAGTCACTAAGAGACCGGTCATGAAGGACAGAGAACACATAGTGACACTTTGAGGACATGAGCATTAAAAAGTGGTCATATAATACTGTAGATATGCTAATGGCGCTATTTACAGTCATCCTGCAGCTCTTAAAGGAATATTTCACCACAAAAAATATCATTTTGTTTATCAACTCACCCGTGTTCTCCTGAACTATTGAAGAAAACATTTCTGACATGCTTACACAGGGAACGAAGAATCTAAACTGTTGAAGTAAAAACTATATCAAATCAGTTGTTTACGAGCTCTCATTCATCTAACCCAAGTCTCACTATACCCTAAATAAATCAATATCATGCGCAACGAAATAATCTCTCACTTTAATGTTGAAGTAGTTGATATCACGCTAACTATCAATATCATGCGCACCCAAATATTCTCTCACCTTAATGTTGAAGTAGTTGATATCACGCTAACTTGTAAAATGTGGGGAAAAGTATATAAGTTGATATCATTTGATGAAAAGTATGGAGTCTTATACAGCTGCCTAAAAAGTTTTAATAGGTTTGGACATTACAGTAGATATTGATTTATTTGTATTGTGGACCCTTGTCATGATGCTGTGCAGACCTGTGAAGTTTTGTAATCCGTGCGTTAACCATCAGACTGCTTGTGTGTTTTATGAGATTATTTATTATTCTACGTGTTGGTCTAAATGTTTCTGACACATATCATCAAGTTAATGAGTGGCTTCACATTCATACATGTATCAGGACTGAAAGGAAGTTAATGAACGTTTGATTTTGTTTCTTATCGTCACTGTGACTTCTTGTATGTCACTGCACTGGAATCAAACATTTCACAAATCGCTGCTGTGAAGAGAAGATTTGTCTGTGATTATCAAGTTTGTGCTTTAACCGTCTCATGGTAACTAAGTTGATTCATAATAACGTTTAAACCCCGCTGAATATTTCCCAAAGATGTTGGATATTAAGATTGAAAATAAAGTTGTGTTTGAAGAGGCCCTCTTATAGTTTGTGTGCATGTAAATGGTCTGCTAAGGATAAAATCCCTTGTGCTACCATTGGCTAGCGCTCCAACACATTATACGTGATTGGCTAAGGGGCGGGACATCTCTAAGACCCCATTTACACGGGAACGCAAATGAACCGAATTCGATATCAAAAAAGTCTTCCGTTCACACGGATACGGCTCAATAAACGTATCCCTTCACACGAGACCGCTCGACCCGCTGGAGACGCTGTAGTACATATGCCGCGCCACGAAATACACCAAAAGCAGCGAAGAAGACCCCCGAGCATGGTTGCCTGGTTGCCCTTCTGTTTATTCTCCGCAGTGGATTTAGCAACATGTAGTTCATGTAGTTCTCCATGTCCACTTGTTGCTGATGGTTGTGGTAGAGGAGCTGTAGATTTTGCACTAACATCTGTAGCATGGTCAGCTACTGACCATGCTACAGCAGGGAGCAGCAGAGGTGGGGAGAGGCGGGGCTATGGCTTCATCGTTATCAGGAAATGATCGTATAGGGCGTACACACTGAGCCGTTTGGCCCCCCAGAGCGTTCCGTCCACAGATCTATCCACCTTGGGACCCGTTATCGTTTGCGGGGTCCATTTCCCCGGTTCCGTTACAGCCTCGTGTGAACGAACGGGCTATACGCGAGAGAAAAGTAGCGGAAACAACCCGTTTCGTTCTCGTGTAAACAGCGCCTAAGTTGTTGACCAATCACAACAGAGCCAGCCGGCTAACCAATCAGAGCAGACTGGGTTTCAGACAGAGGGTGAAAAGAGGTGCTGCAGCACAGGCAGTATGAGAAACATAAAGAGCTTTTTGAACATTAAAGCTTGGAGACATGACACATTAGAGACACTACATACTGATATGGACCTGAGAATGAGCATCAAAGGGCCCCTTTAACACAACAGGAGTGAACAATGACTCGCTGTGAGCTTGTGGAAGACCTTCAAACCACATCAGTGTTTTCCTGAGGTTTCAGCTCTTTAAAATCATGTAGAATTCCTTCTTTTTGCAGCCCCGTTAAAAATGCATGATGTACAGTTGAAGTTTTTGCCAGAAGCTGTTGGTTTCCAACTAAATACTTGTTACTATTCACTAAAACTGTTGTTAAGCTGTTACTGCCTGGAATAGTTGTTAAAAATACTGAAACACAATAGCTTGTTTTGCTAAATAAATCCTTGTGTTCATGTAAAGTGTATGATTTAAATGGATGATTTGCATACAAGTTTAAAGATTAAGAATACTTAAACTTCTGTTGCAGTAAAAATGAATTCATCCAGGGCCAGTGGTGTATTGTTCTGTTGCAGGAAAGATACATGATGTTTGTGTGTTTCTGTACGTTGATGTAACCATGTATGAATAAATGACTAATTAAAAGAGCGGGTGCACCTTCTCGACAAATTGCGAGACCATTTATTGTCTTGTTTTTACAATACCCTCGGTACTACTTTACTCTAACTCTAACACTGAAGGTATTAGATAAGTTTAGACCCTGTTGGGCATCACACATTTTAAGACATCACACACGGATGGAAACAAGAGAGAAACCGTATAAATATATTTAATTTACAAATAACAATTTTGCATTAATACATGTATGTGTAGGCTGATAAATATCTCCCAGTAGACTCGATGAATGCAGTATCAAAGGTTTTATATTTAGTGTATTTAAAGATCTATATTTTCCTTCAGGTTTGATTCAGTAGATTCATCTCCCAACAACAACACTCTTCCTTCCAAAAAACAACTTGACTTGAGTGTGTTTTGTTCTTCAAGCAGCTTTAACAAATGTATCAAATAAACATCCTGTACATTGCAAAATAACAATTATGTAAACATTGGTAATTATTAAGGAGTGCTTGGTTTAATAAGTGCGTTTACAGAGATATTAAGGTTTGAACTTGAGGGCGAACTCGTCCAGCGCCGCCTGCAGCTTCTCCTCGTCCTGAGGGGATGAGCGGGAGGAGGCCAGAGGGAGGTGCGTTGCCACCGCTTTACGATCTGCAGAACACATCACGGATAAACATCAGACAAAAAGAGAGATGCTAAAGCATAGAAATGTGTTACACTTTCTCTCAAATGTACATGTTTAAAGTAATGCTAGTCGCCATAACGAAAACATGGTTACGCCAAGTACCACCTACCTTAGCAGACTCGTTCAATGTGATGCACGAGGTTTTTGTTATGGAAAAATTAACATTTGCTCTAAGACTCAAGACAGACACATTTGACAAGTGTTGGAAGGGATGGATTGAGTTTGTAAACCCGTATAGATCAGACTTCAACTAAAACCTATATGGAATGTAACCCCCCCTGGTTCTCTGCTACACACAGTTTTGAATGTTGTTGTGTCTCCGTCTCTTCATGTCCGTTTGTCTGTATGCGTGACTTGCATTATTTGTTTTGTGAAATTTCAAAAAGAAATGTAAGATGGTCAGTTAGCTGATTGCACAAATCAAGATAAAACTATAAGCTTTCTTTCTGTGCTTATGTGCCCTTGTTTGTTTTTCTTTTATTGCCACCACCTTGTTAGGGATTGCAGATTAATTTAGCCTTAAAAAGGTAGGGTAGGTAAGAATGGAGAAACCAGCTCGAGTGCGCTAGAATTTGAAAGTACGCAGCCGGAAAAAATCTGCCCCTTCCTTCAGACTTCCTTACAGAGCCCCTCCTCCAACACACGTGCACATGACCAATGAGGGCACGAGATAAGTTTGTGCCCCGATGGAAGGCTGACAGGCAGGTAGGCCATCCAGTTATTTTAGCCGGGCCGGCTCAGATGATTGGTCGTGCTTTTTACAGCGCCACAGCTTCCACAGATGACATTTTTTTTATGTATTTATTGTCAAAGCATTTAATATATTCATTGCTATCGGGATGTTAAGAGCATTCCATGGAATATAACAAAAAGTGTTTCTGAAGTGAATTACATACCCCACCTTTAACGGTTAATGTTGGCACTTTTACATGATAGACTCATGTTCAGTAATGTGCATTGTCCCTTTTCCCCCTCATGCTCCGAAGAGCTGCAGAGTTATAAATAAGGTCTGTGTTTAATACACATTTTAAAGAGGCCATAATGTGCTTTTGGGGGTTTTCCCTTTCCTGTAGTGTTATATAGGTTTTAGTGCATGTAAATGGTCTGCAAAGGCTAAAATCCCCGTGTTCCCTCCAGTAGGTCTTTCTCTCCCACGCACTAAGACAGGGCCGCCCATAGCCTCTATTATCCAATCAAAAGTTGTGAAAGCAAAAAGATGACAAACAGGTTTTAGTTTCTGACCCTGGAAGAACAGTCCGCTCGGCTGCTTGATGGCGGCCGCAGACACAGAGAGCCACACGGCCGTGTCCCCTCCCATCGCCTCCGTCCGCAGTTTGTTCTGCATCTTAGCGTGGAACGAAGGCATGGACGTCTGGACAGCTACAGAGGAAGGAAATAAATCACAGAAGCAACGTTTTTTGGGGGATAATCAGAGGTGGGAAGTAGTGGAGTACAAATACTTTGTTACTGTACTTAAGTACATTTTTCTGGTATCAGTACTTTACTCCACTACTTATTTTTCTGACCACTTTTTACTTTGACTTCTTACATTTTTAACACAAATACCTGTACTTTCTACTTCTTACATGTTGAACACAAATACCTGTACTTTCTACTTCTTACATGTTGAACACAAATACCTGTACTTTCTACTTCTTACATGTTGAACACAAATACCTGTACTTTCTACTTCTTACATTTTGAACCCAAATACCTGTACTTTCTACTTCTTACATTTTGAACACAAATACCTGTACTTTCTACTTCTTACATTTTGAACACAAACACCTGTACTTTCTACTTCTTACATGTTGAACACAAACACCTGTACTTTCTACTTCTTACATTTTCCAAACAGGCTGGTTCCTTTAGTTTGAATGTGTGTTTGGTGGCGTGATCATTATTATTTAGAGTCATTGCGTGCCTATTGATTTGAACACGATCCGTGTATCCATCATTTCCTGGTCTTCTCTAAAGAAGAGGGACCAATGAAAACGTTGTCATGTTGCCGTTGTTCAGCATGGAAACATTCATTAGCTAACAATGACATTATTGTTCTATTAATATAAAGGGAGCTCAGGTACTCTTTAAAACAGCTGGTAGTTATGGGTACTTTTTACTTAAGTACATTTCAAAGACCATACTTCTTTACTTTTGCTTGAGTAAAGAAGTTTAATCAGTACTTCTACTTTTACCAGAGTATTTTTAAACACGAGTATCTGTACTTCTACTTGAGTAAAGGGTGTGTGTACTTGTGGCATTTCTGGTGTCAGGTAATAAATTCAGATCGTTTTTAGATGTAGACTAGGGCTGCAACATAAATAGGATCAGGATTTCGACATGCACGTTAAACACATTGCATGATTTGCTATAATGCTAGCAGGGATTTATTGTATGTCTATGTCTCAAAGAAGGTATAGCTGCCATTTGTTCTCAACATGTTAATCTAATATCCTTTCCCTACCTGGAGTGTCGGCCCAGCCGGGGTGCATGCAGGAGAAGTGGATCTCTTTGTGCTGGGACGCCCATCTGTCTGTCAGGATCACCTGCTGTCTCTGTCAGAGCATCAACACAAAAACACTTCAGCAGACACAACACACACGCCGCAGTCATATCGTGTTCTAACTCCATCTCCTTTACCTTGTTCTGGGCATAGACAGTGGTACCGTCAAACGTCCCCTTCTCAAACTGCAGGTCGTCCACGTTCAGCTTCTGTGTGAGCATCCCGCCCGACGACACCGTGACCTTTGAAGAAGAGCAAATATTAATTTCTAATTTTAAAGCTTACCTATTATGCAAAATCCACTTTCTCCTGTCTCTTCTACATCAACATGTGTCGCCTCTTCTTCATGTCTCTTCTACATCAACATGTGTCCCCTCTTCTTCATGTCTCTTCTACATCAACATGTGTCCCCTCTTCTTCATGTCTCTTCTACATCAACATGTGTCCCCTCTTCTTCATGTCTCTTCTACATCAACATGTGTCCCCTCTTCTTCATGTCTCTTCTACATCAACATGTGTCCCCTCTTCTTCATGTCTCTTCTACATCAACATGTGTCCCCTCTTCTTCATGTCTCTTCTACATCAACATGTGTCCCCTCTTCTTCATGTCTTTTCTACATCAACATGTGTCCCCTCTTCTTCATGTCTCTTCTACATCAACATGTGTCCCCTCTTCTTCATGTCTCTTCTACATCAACATGTGTCCCCTCTTCTTCTTGTCTCTTCTACATCAACATGTGTCCCCTCTTCTGCATGTCTCTTCTACATCAACATGTGTCCCCTCTTCTTCATGTCTCTTCTACATCAACATGTGTCCCCTCTGTGTAAAGAGACTCTGAAAGTTTCAGGAACAAAGATTCTCTCTCTTTTTGTCCTGATCCATTTCTATAAAAACCTGTCTAAAAATGAGCTGATCAGATTTTGGCCACTTTATGATGTCATAACGATGTTTTGGCTTGTGTAACCATTAGCCAATCACTCACCAACCAAGGTAACCCCCCCCCCCCCCCCCCCCCTTATCACCTGAATCTCCTCCTAGAGCACCATTGTGTTATTTTTAACCAAATATCTCTCAGAGGGGCGTGGGGAGGGGCTCCTTATTTTCATCTAAAGTAACAGAGAATCAGCACTTTTGAAACAGAGGGGATTATGGGATGCTGCAATGATCTGTTTGGTGTTTCAGCCAATCAGAGACATGTTTTGTATATATCTGAGACCTATTATATATTGATGAAAAACAGTATAATAGGGGACCTTTAATAAAGAATAACAATTAGTGCATGAGGTCTTTGAATTCTGGTATACTGAAAATATTTGATTATCCAGTGTACTTTCTTGTATTCTTCTTGTACTATTCTGATAGTAACAAACAATCTTTGACTTTCCCAAATGCATTTGTTTTTCATAATTTGATATGACATGAGGGTTTTGTGTAAAGTTTAAATTCAACCCACCACTCTCGGGTCTTCCACCTTCTTGAGTGCAGGTATCAACGCCGTGGTGAGGATGTAGGTACCTGAAAATTAAAATAAACACAGAAGACATTTTAGCAACACTTCTTTGCAACATCTGCTAAATCCAAACTAAATGATCAAAAACTCTAAATACTTGTTGAAATGTTTGATTTTATTATTTTATTATTCAATTTTGATCTGCCGAAGCATTATTTAGACTTTTACTTCCTGGAATAATTTAATTTGGCAGAGCACATTATTCCAGGGGAGAGAAACTTTGGGATTTTAGCCTCTGCAGACCATTTACATGCACACAAACCTGTATGACACACTACAGGAAAGGGAAAACTCCAATAAGCTTAATAAGGAGGTTTTAAAAACACTCTCACTTTATTTACCCAGTGTATTTGTGGCGAAGTTCTTCTCCAAACCCTCCTCAGTTAACTCTCTCTGGTTCACCATACAGCCGGCGTTGTTGATCTAGTTAACACAATAAAAGATTACATTATAAACAAGAGTGTGTGTGTGTGTGTGTGTGTGTGTGTGTGTGTGTGTGTGTGTGTGTCACAGGTAAACACACACTGACCTACAGGACACCAGAACCTACCAGAACATGCACCGTGTTGCTCTGGGAGAAGTTCTGGGCGAACTCCCAGACCTCTCTGGCGCTGGACATGTCGACAATGTGGACGTGAACGTTCTGGGAATAAAAAGAAAAGTGTGTTTTATGTTTCCTCTGTCAACGGATTTAGATAAGGAGCATCTTCTCTTTGATTTGATTTATTTTGAATGTGTAAAACAGTAATACAAAAAATAATAATTATAATGAAATTTAACATGAGAATTATTAGTGTCAAATTGATATACAAAGATATTACTGATTCTAAATGAACAAATGATTTACTTAATTACACATCCGAAAAGGGGTGGGATGAAGTTTACACTTATTTAATCCCACCCCTTCTCCCAAAAACTAAATTATCATATATTTTTTTTCTTCTTAAAGAAAAACATTTGTTATTAAAAAACAAACAAACAAAACAAAAACATTAGGCTGGTCCTTAGTGCCATGTACATTTCCGAATTCATTTATTTTAAGCTCCAACCACCGGAATTCGTTCTATTAGTCAAGAAAACTCTCCTGGTGAATTCTTTCCTCAATCTGACAACATGTACCCCTCCCTCAACATGTACCCCTCCCTCATCAACCTGGGCTGCCACACCAGCAGCCATGGTGCTGCAACTGAGGCTACACTTCAAGGTTGATGAGAGAGGGGTACATGATGAGAGAGGGGTACATGTTGAGGGAGGGGTACATGTTGAGGGAGGGGTACATGTTGAGGGAGGGGTACATGTTGAGGGAGGGGTACATGTTGAGGGAGGGGTACATGTTGAGGGAGGGGTACATGTTGTCAGATTGAGGAAAAAATTCACCAGGAGAGTTTTCTTGACTAATAGAATGAATTCTGGGGGATGGAGCTTAGACTTTCCGACTTTCGATTTTAAGGACCACCCTAAAAAAAACACAACAAATAAATAAACAAACAAATACATAAAAGAGGTAAATGGTAATCAAGAAAAGATAAAATAACAAACCAAATAAATCGGTAAACCGTAAACCGTCTTCTTTTATCCTCCTTTAGGTCAGACAGATTTCTCACCTGATTTTTACTCCGTTCCACAATTTCCTCTTTGGCTGCTTCTGCTCGCCCCTCGTTTCGACAAACCATGTGAATTGTTCCTCCTGCGGACTCAAAAATAAAAACACACATGAGTGGACAAACCAGCAGCAACGTGAGAACAGACAAAAACCCTATTAAAGTCACGATGCTCTGATTAAAACCCAGCTGCTACTATATCCGCAAATATTTTCATTGTTATTTCATCTGTCAATCATTTCTCTGATGATAGTTTTGTCTTTAAAATCTCTGAAAAGAGTGAAAATCCCAGTCCTTCAAAGTAAATAATTATATATACATTGTTTTGTGTTAAAGCGGGGAAATATATATTTGAGAAGAACTGCATTTTCTGCCATTTATGTATGAAGAATTACTTCACCAGTTAATCAATAGAATATATAAATATGAGTCTATAGTGTATTCATATTATTCTGTCTCTTATTTATATGATAGTGTCTATATGTTAACTTCCTCTATAGTGCATATACCCATATATACTGTCCATACTGCATATACTTTTTTAACATCTGTCATATATATTATTTTATTATACCATAAAACACTTCTTCATTTGCACTTCTGGATGGATTCTAACTGCATTTCATTGTCTCAGTACTCGGATAATAAAACAATTACTAATTTACTGCATTACTGATAGCTGGAAGCATAAAAGTTTGAAGTCGCCTGACAACGTTTTTGGTTGGTTAGAGCCACTTAAACACTCACCTCTGCTGGCTATTTCCTGCGCCGTGGCTTTACCGATCCCACTGTTAGCTCCTGTGATCATGAAGGACCTCCCACTCAGGTTCACATCCAGGTCTGCAGCAACAAAATGCTTCGCTGCAGCTTCATAGCCACTCCTAATAGGAAGAGAACATTAAAGGTCTCCTATTATACTGTTTTTCATCAATATATGACAGGTCTCAGATATATACAGAACATGTCTCTGAAGTGTTTGGCTCCAAACACCAAACAGATCATTGCAGCATCCCATAATCCCCTCTGTTTCAGCCCTGTTTCAAAAGTGCTGATTCTGTGTCTGTTACTTTAGATGAAAATAAGGAGCCACTCCCCACGCCCCTCTGAGAGAGATTTGGTTAAAAAGAACACAATAGGCGCTTTCACACCGGAGTACTTTTCCTGTTAGTTCCGATAGTTCCTGGGATTTTGCGTTCACACCAAAAAGAGAAATTAGTTCATGAGAACTTTCCCCCCCTTTTCAGTCCCTGCTAGAGAGCAGGTACTTTCCTGGAGAGAAAAAAAGTTCCCATTTCTGATTGGCTGGGCGGATTGCAAACCACGCCCCGAAAAACTCCCAAAAGGTTTGTGAAGCCGCCATTTTATTATCCTCGCTACTTAGTGGGAACTAAGTACGGCAAAGTACTTGGTGTGAAAGCGCCTAATGGTTCGTTATGACATAAAGTGGCCAAAATGTGATCAGCTCATTTTCAGACAGGTTTTTATATAAATGGATCAGGACAAAAAGAGAGAGAATCTTTTTTCCTGAAACTTTCAGAGTCTCTTTACACAGAGGGGACACATGTTTATGTATAAAAGACATGACAAAGTGGATTTTGCACAATAGGTGACCTTTAAAAAGAAGACATATTGGCACCAACAATACCACATTCAAGGCTTTTATTATCATTTGTGCATAGCTACAGTGTAGTTATGACAATGAAAATCGGAGGTCACAGGCTCCTCCAACAGTGCAACACAATAAAACAGATAATAGTGCAAGTAAATACAATAACATAGAATATAAGTAGTGCCATAAGAGTCTATATACAAGTGATTAATAATATTATTTCATACTGAAGAGGAGATATTACAACTCTGGTCAGATATTTCCATCAGTAAAGATATTTAAAATAAGTGAAAGGATATTTGGATAGAGCTGGAACAACAAGTGAAATATTAATCGTTTGTCTTTTTGAGATATCATGGATCAAGCTCAAATGTTCAATCAATTTGCTTTTTGGTTTAATATGCAAGTATTTTAATAATAAATGGCGTATTGTACATTTCATATCTTAGGGTTTGGAATTGGTCAGATAAAACTAGCAATATAAAGACATCCCTTTTGACCCTGGGAAAGTGTGAAGCACATTATCATTTGGGAATGTATGTTTATAAGGAGTTTTAATTAATTTGAATGGAATAAAAAGGCACAATATTTACCGCTGTAATGTAATGTAGAAGTAGTATAAAGAAGCACAATTGGAAAAACCCAAGTAGAGTACAATCATGTCAGAATGGTACTTGAGTAAATTTACTTTGTTACATTCCACCACTGATATTGTGTAAATACTGCTGGTTAAACATTAACTTTAACATACTATACAACAGCACATGATCTGAATGTCATTACCAGCAAGGCAGCATGCATGGTTTAACCTAGGAAGGATTACATTTGCGCAAATCATGAAAACTACAATGCATTTGACTGTTTAAATAGCGATACAGGTGATAATCCCCACTTACTTTGTGTACTCCTGGAGCCCTTTCACAAACCACACGGCGTTCCTGTAAAACGACATAATTTCTTAACACAATTGTGACTCAGTTTGTGTTTAAAAGTGTTCAGTTAAAGGCAGTGTAGTACGTGAGCAAAGTCCAATGTTTGTTTCATAAAGAGGGAGTTATGTAGCATGGACGTTATGTAGTAAGAGGGCGGGGAGTCACGTGATTGAGATCCGGAAGTGTGTGTTTAATAACCAAGACCCTAGGAAGTGCGCCGGACTCTGAGGAAAATATTCGTGTCCAAACGGCGGTACTACAATTTCCGTATCAGTCCGTGACGTCACTGGATCCAGAAAGACATTTCCCCATTGACTAACATGGGGAAAGAGACGTCTGTAAATCAGCGGATACTTTTTTTTAAACTAAATAAACTACCCAGTATGAACTATTGTATAGCCCTTATTATAATCATTAAGTCCTTAAAGTTGTAAAATGCACTAAAAGCCGAATCTAGATATATTTTCTCTCTCCATTCATTCTAGTGAGCCGAGAGCGGCAGCTCGGGGGCGGGGCTTAAGGGGCAACTCAACTGCGCATGCTCTAGCCAGGCATGACGGGTAATCTGTGACGTTTCGCTCTCTCAAAAGTTGGGCCATTTTGCCTTCATGCGCCAATGAGCAGCTCTCATAGGAAAGAACGAGACCCCGCCTCCCATGTGTTAGCGCCCCTAGTGGACATCTTGGTGTATTACTGAGGACGGAACATGACATAGTATAAATGTATGAAGAAATGTTTGAATAAATCCGGAAATAAATAAATAAATACAGGAATAAATAAATGTGGTAATACATAAAGCAATAAATACACGTGGAAATAAAAACAGAAATAAAATAATAAAATAATAATAAATGTGGAAATAAATACATAAATCAATACAAGAAAACATAAATACAAACATATGAATAATATATATATATATATATATATATATATATATATATATATATATATATATATATATATATATATATAAAAGTTGAGAAAATGAAACATACATTAATGTTCTGTTTTTATTTTCAACTTATTTTTATTTATTCATTTATTTATTTATTACCATATTTATGCCGCATTTATTTATCCTTGTATTTATTTATTATTTTATCATTTTATTCCTGTATTTATTTCCGTATTTATTCATACATTTATTTATGTATTTATTTATTTATTTATGCTCATTTCATGTTCCGTCCTCCATATTCTAGCGCCTCTAGTGGTGGACATGTATTACTACACAGTCAATGGCGTTTTGCCGTCAACAACCCGGAAACATGGCGAAACCACGGGAGGGTTTCTTTGAGTTTAACGCTTTAATGTTACGTTTATATTACATATTTTTCAAGCGGAATAGGAGGAGAGCTACATACACACACCGACATGTGGCACTTTATCAAAGTGTAAATACTTTAATGTTTTACTCAACTAAAATTACCAGTTGTCAGGATGGCCGAGTGGTCTAAGGCGCCAGACTCAAGGTACAACCTTCCATTGTAATGGGTATTCTGGTCTCCGAATGGAGGCGTGGGTTCAAATCCCACTTCTGACAGACTTTTTTTCTCGCCATTACTGAGTCTGATTGTACATTTCGTTTTGGATATTTTAGTTCGTATTTTGTATTATGCCTTCTTGAGACAAGCAAAAAACGGTTAAATAGTAAACAACTAAACATGTAACATGGATTTTATGTCAAAATATGATATTGTTGTATAATATCACTCTTGTAGGATGTAGAGAACCAATACATTACTATCAATACATGCATAAATGCATACAGGAATAAATAAATACATGCATGAATAAAAAAGCGTGCATGTTGAAAATAAATAAATACATGGACAGATACAAGGAATAAAGCAGCAACCTCTACTTCTGACAAACCTTTTTCGCACCACTGCTGTGTTTTATTTGTCAAACCACTGCATGACAGATTGTACATTTCGATTTTGTATTATGCCATTTTGATACCAGCAAAAACCGGTTAAATAGTAAACTTCAGTCCCACGCCTTTATCACATGGCAATACTTATGTTGATGTATAATGTTGTATAATGTTCTTTGTATGCTATGACGTTTGTATTTTGTTTTTCTCTTTGCTTTTGTTTGCTTTGTACAGCCCTTTGAGGCATTTCTTGTGATTTGGGGCGATAATGCATTTTGATTTGATTTGATTTAAACAACTAAACATGTAACAAAGATTTTATGTCAAAATATGATATTGTTTTATAATACCACTCTTGTAGGATGTAGAGAACCAATACATTACTATCAATACATGTATAAATGCACACAGGAATACATAAATACAGAAAGGAAAACATGAATTAAAGAATAAATAAATGCTGAGAAACATACATAAAGGAATAAATGCATGAATAAAAAATGGGTCTGAATCGGATATTAGCACTTTCCTATTGTGAATTAAAACATTTTTATTGAGATGTATTATAAATGTTCCCTATTTCATTTTGTCTGTCATAAAAGCATAAACAACTTCTTCAATTAACTTTAATAATGACTGTAAACCATTTTAGTTAAATGTCATAACCCAAACAGGACAACTGTCACACGTGTGTGTTATTCACTGCTGTCATTTTACCTGCAGGGCACAGGTGTATAAGGTGTGTGTCACATGATTGATCGTGTCTGACCCCGGAAGAGCATGAGTTTTGACCGCCGTAGCGCGAGGTTGTGAGTAGTACAGCTCAGTTTGTTTGGCAATGAATTGAATGTTGATGGATATGAACTATACTTTATTATGCACAACAATATACAATAAATTGATTGTATTTTGCTGCACCTGATAACGAGCCTACCGATTCTTCATTGAAACAACAACTTAAACGGTATCTGAAAACTCACCTGTTTGGACTGCATCTTTGCTCAAAATAAAATCTCTTCTGTTAAGAGTATAGCACTTACAAAGGATTTAGCTTGAGGGGAAGTTAATGCAGCAGCACTTCATCTGGCTGGGTTTATAGATTGGAAATGCACCTGCAGGTTTCTTGCTTTTGACGTTGTTTCTTCATGGTTGAATGCACTTATTGTAAGATTGTAAGTCACTTTGGATAAAAGCGTCAGCTAGATGTAATGTAATCTATTTTATCCACACAGTTTCTGGCTCTGGTTTTCAAAGTCCTGTCTCCATAGAAGAGGGAGCACTGCCCTCTGGTGGTGATACACGACAATTAAAAACCAGACAGTCGATGTGAATTTGTATCTTCCCTAATGTGAATTCATATTTATGTTTAAATTAAATGTATGATTGATGCAACACAATTATTATTTTTTAATAATTTGGCTCAGTTTGTGGGGATTATGATTAATCTTGGAAAACATAAAAAGTGAAAAAAAGATTATTATACTATTATTGTCTATTAAGGCTGACTTGGTACATACCATTATTATTATTGTACTTGAGTGTTGTTCCTGTATACAGTTATGCAATAGCCCACGGCCTGAAGTGAGCTATTGCTTTTATAAAACGTGTGGCAATATGAAAGAAAAATACACACTCTAATTTAAATAGTTTTTATTAGTAAATAATTATGTACAAAATAAAATAGTCCCTTTCGGCTGCCATTTAAGCAAGATCCGCCCAAACGATGGTCTGTTCTGAAAGGGGGAACTAAGCCAAGGACTTTGAATCAGTTTCTATGGGGGCGGTTTTGCTCAGTGTATTGATTTTGGTTGTACTTTATTCAAACTTGTCTGTACTTGAAATGATCATATTTCAAATCTTTCTCATGGCTTCCTCTTGCCCGTAGTTTAGGCTCCGAGCTCGAGTAAAAGAGGCTGGATTGTATTTTAGCTGTAGAAGAAGGCTGCGTTATCAGCGGTGTTTAAGCAGCTATAAATAGCGTGTGTGCCGATTCAAATTTCGTTTACGGCCATACCACCCTGAACACGCCCGATCTCGTCCGATCTCGGAAGCTAAGCAGGGTCGGGCCGGGTCAGTACTTGGATGGGAGACCGCCTGGGAATACCCGGTGCCGTAAGCTTTTGCTTTTCTTCCTTGCTCGGCAGAGTTCCCTGCACGTTCTTTTGAGGGTAAGCCAATCTTCATCCAATCGTGATATTCCATTTCCATTGTGAGATTGGACCTAAGTCACAGCATCACAGTGGACAGGGCCACTCACGGCACTGCTTCTCTCCGAACCCGCCCCCTACACCCTGTTGATTGACAGTGGTCCTTTTTGTTGTTTGACTTTGAAATAGTTATTAAAATATCAATATTTGAGCAAATTGTCTATTAGAGCAATAGTTAACTTTGCATTGTCCTCAGTCTGTTTACAACCGTGTCAATTGAACGGGCAGCGCCGTCTGCTGACGCAGGAATAAAGTCAAAGCTTACGGCACCGGGTATTCCCAGGCGGTCTCCCATCCAAGTACTGGCAACCCTCCACCTTCTCAGCTACAGGTAAAATACAATGTATCCTCTTTTACTCGTGTAAATCACCTGTTTGGAGCCCCATGTTTGCTGGCACATTACACGGACATTTAGCAAAACCCAGAAAGTTGCCCATTACATCTTGAATCATGACTTTTATCAACAATGCATTCATATCAAATACAGCGTCTTGGTGTGAATGCTTGTTTGGTGTTTGGCTGAAAGTTCAATTCAAGGTTTTTTTTGTTGCAAAGTGCTGGAATCGGCTGCCATTTAAGCAAGATCCGCCCAAACGATGGTCTGTTCTGAAAGGGGGAACTAAGCCAAGGACTTTGAATCAGTTTCTATGGGGGCGGTTTTGCTCAGTGTATTGATTTTGGTTGTACTTTATTCAAACTTGTCTGTACTTGAAATGATCATATTTCAAATCTTTCTCATGGCTTCCTCTTGCCCGTAGTTTAGGCTCCGAGCTCGAGTAAAAGAGGATGGATTGTATTTTAGCTGTAGAAGAAGGCTGCGTTATCAGCGGTGTTTAAGCAGCTATAAATAGCGTGTGTGCCGATTCAAATTTCGTTTACGGCCATACCACCCTGAACACGCCCGATCTCGTCCGATCTCGGAAGCTAAGCAGGGTCGGGCCGGGTCAGTACTTGGATGGGAGACCGCCTGGGAATACCCGGTGCCGTAAGCTTTTGCTTTTCTTCCTTGCTCGGCAGAGTTCCCTGCACGTTCTTTTGAGGGTAAGCCAATCTTCATCCAATCGTGA